GCTGAATGGCTGACCGCTGCAGTTGGGAGGGCCATGGACAGGCTTATCAGGCAGAAGCTCCTGTCTCTCCCAAATGTTGTGGTCAAGGAGTACACGCCTGAAGGCACTACGCCCACCAACGACTCGAGCTTGTACAGTCTGACCTTCCCCACGGCAGACGGGAACTTGGCAATGCGCCAGAATGCGTTGGACGAGTGGGGCCCCAAATTTGCCCGCCTGAAGTCTGACTATGAGGAAGCGATTGCAAGCCACAACAAACTCTTCAATTCCTCAGGCTGCCCTTACAAAGCTGACGGGCGCAAGAGAGCTGGAGAGGCCATTGGAGACGACGTGGAGGAAGGTGAGCCCTTCCTGGACGATTGCGTTGTGGAGTCCCTGGAAGAATTGCGCAAGGCGCATGGCAACCTGTCCACTGTCCACAGCAGCCAACCAGAGCTTTTCAATCTGATTTTTACTTCCAAGGGGCACCTTTTCCTCCATGCTCTCGAGGACGGCGTGGCCTCTGCAAAGGTCCCTTTGTTTCAGACCTTCGGAGAATTCCACACCGGGGACGCAGACATTGCCAAGGTGCAAAAGCGCAAAGGGCACTTGTGCCATTGGAAGATGGATTCGGCGGACTTCGAGGCGATTTGGTCCCATCCTGCAGGCTGGGACCCGGCGTTCCAGAGGCGCCCTGCCACTTTTCAGAAGTTTGCGGACTACCTCGCAGACCACAACGTCGTCACCTTCTCCGTGGCATGCCATGAAGTCAGCCTAGAAGGCTCGGACGGGATCAAGGTCAAGAGCGTGGAAGATTGCGCATTTGAGGCCAAGAAGTTGCCTGCCCGCGCCGTTGCCGACTTGACCAACTGCGGCAGCTTGTTGACGTTTGCTGTTGTGGATTGGGAGAAGGGCCAGACAACCAACGGAGCATTAAAGCTCGTGATGAGCTTCAGCTATGAGGACTCAAGCCAGCAAAAGGGCGTTTTCCCGGCAAAGCCTTGCTGGATGCTGGCGAAGCCGAAGCGCGTCCTCAAGGACAAGTGCTTTTTGGTGTGTGGCCCAGGCAAGCCCTAGTCCACTGCGCACTGTCCTCAGTCCATGAGGTTTGCGTGTGGCCTGGCCACAGCAGCCTGCATTTGCACGGCGTGCGAAGCGACGTGCCGGTTTTGACAGACCATTACGAGCCGTGTGAGCAAGATGTAAAAGTGGCAGGCAGCACAGGCGCAAGCATGCAGGCTTACACGCACACATTGTTGCATGCCGCAGCAGGGCGTCACAGCATATGCTGTCAACGTTTGCACTCAAGCCCTGTCCCCGACTTTCAGTGCACGGTTCCCGGTTCCTTGCCCTGTGTCATGGCCGGCTTCCTAGCATGCTTCGCTGATGATGAAGAAGATCGCTTGTGGGACTTTGCCAGCACGCCACTACTTTCTGACGCAAAGGCAGCAAGTTCGCCAGCGCCTGCGAAGGCTCCAAGTGTTGGCGCGCCTGTGGCTTCTTTGTCCGCGTGCTCGCAGCCAACGCCAAACTCAGCAGCCACAAAGGCCGCCATCAACAGGTGTCTCAAGCAAGAGGGCGCGCACTCAGCGCCTGACAAAATGAGAGGCGCTGACAAGGCCAAGCGGGCTGCAAGGGGCACCAAGGACACCTTTGCTGGCCGCCGGCCGCCGTTGGATGAGTCCAAGCTGGCAATCTACAAGAAAATGAAGGAGGACTACGAGACGCTCCGGAAGAACTTAAAGGCTTCAAGCATGAAGGGTGGCAAGCAAAAGACCTTGTCGCAAGAGCTGTACTGGAAGTACATGCAGAAGTGCATGTCTGAGGGCGACGGGCCACCAGCGCAGCGATTTGCAGCTGGCGCCAAATCATTTCGTCAGTCCTTTGGGGTGTGAAGAGTTGTTAGGCTCTTGTTTAACTGGGGGATTGCAGCGTGATGGCTGTCCACTGTGCTTTGTCCACCGTGGATGTTTACCATGTGCCATCCATTCACTGCAACTTGGGGGGGGGTTGTCAGGGCAGGTTCTTGGGCAGTGTCAACAGACATTGCCCTTGCCATTGCCTGCAAGCACCTAAAAGCAGCCATTGTAGCAAAATGCCAAGTCGTTTGTTGCAATGCGCTTGCCCGTCAGTTTGGCAGTGTTCGCAAGTTGCTCACTTCTGCCGCTGCTTGCAAGCTGGCTCCAGTGACTTGCTAATGGCGATCCCTTCGAGCTTGACGAAAATGCAAGTGTTTGGTCTCACGTTGGTCATGGCGTTGGAGATGTGCCCTGTCCACCGTCCACTGTCCGTTGTGGAGCTGTGGTGCGGGGTAGCGTCTATCGCTGGCGCTGCTCAAAAGGCTGGCCAGGCAAGCGTGGCCATGGACAAGAATCGTGTCCCCGGAGTCACGAACACCGACGGGCCGGACTCGGAGAACATTTTGTCCAAGCACGGCTTCATGCGGGCCTTGCAAGCAGTGCTTGAAATCAAGGAGGGTGGCCTACTCTGGATGGCGCCAGTGTGCAGCAGTTGGGTGTTCATGAATAGCGCCAACTGCCGAAGAACTGTGAAAAACCCTGCAGGTAGGGCGGGCTACGAGCCTGTGAAGCAAGGAAACCACATGGCGTCTATCGCTGCTTTCCTTTATGCCGTCGCCATGTTGCGGAAGGTGCGGCCTGTCATCGAACAGCCAGCAGGAAGCATCATGTTCCGCTTCAAGCCCATCGAGACGGTGTTTAATGCGTTCGGGCATTGCGTAGCGACTTGCGCCCGGTGCGCGTTTCAGATTGAAGCCCCTTTCGGGGCCAGGTTTTTGAAGCGGTACAAGTTTGCTGGCGAGTCTTGGGTGCAGAGCCTGCACCAGAAGTGCGAATGCCCAAACGGAGACCACAAAGCTTTGGTGAAGGTTGACGAGAAGAGCAGCAAGACCACTGTTAGTGGAGACCAAGCCCTTCTGAAGGAAAGCCAGTCCTACCCACCTTTGATGGGCAAGTGGGTTGTGGACAAGTGGCTGGAACAGCGCAAGGGCCAAGGCAGTCCACTGTTGCACGGTCCACCGTCCACTGTTTCCCAGCCAAGCCGCGGGACCGCAGCATCACCGTCATGGAAGCGGCCTCCAACGAGTTCCACTTGGAAGACCCCGCCTGCTGGGAATTCAAAGCGTCAGAAGCTGCAAAATTCGAATTGGAAGCGCCCCATGGTAAGCTTGGAGCCGGGCTCTAGCAGCTGGAAGCGCTGCACCAATTAAATCGTCTCAGCTTGCTGTGTGTGACCGCGTGCAAAAGGCAGGTGCGCAGGGCTCAAAGCTGACTGAAGGTGGCAATTGACCGGAGGTGGCGTCGGTCAATTCTCACCATTTTTGGTCTACGGGGGCCTGTTTTCATTTTGTGTCACGCGTGGCTGTTCCTTGTGTCTTATGGATTCCGGCATTTGTCGGCTCCGCTGGGCAAATCCTGCAAACCATGACGTCTTGACGTCTTGCCCAGCTTTTCGACGCTTGCAGGCTGTCATTTCTCCTATAGCAGGGCCCGTGCGCCCAATGTTTTGCAGGGCCAATGGGCATTTTCAAGTTTCCGTGGGCACTCCCTTGCTGATCAGCGCTCAGTCATGAACCTTGCGCACGCGCTGTCCGCTGTGTAATGTCCAGTTTCTGGCATTATGTGAGCGCACCGCTTGTAGCATTTTGGCTCCGGCCCTGTGCACTGGACCCTGTCCTCTGTTCTTTGACTGTCATGGCCGGGTTGGTGGTGCCTTTGATGAGGAACATTTGGTTTTCGGAAATCCTTGGCGAGGGTGACCTGGGCCAGATCGACACCATCGTTGACACGCAAGACATTCAGCCGCGGCCGCGTCTTGTCAGAACATGAACCATGCTTGAACATGCTGATTACGTAAGTGTCCCTCAGCTGAGCTTACGCTTTGAGCGCAAGGTACGAGCCCTTTACCATGCACGCTGCCTTGGCGGAGTGGATGCGCTGTAGCTTGTGCACCCTGGACCCTGTCTTCACCTTCCACGGGAAGATGACGTACGTCATGCGTGATGCTGTGCGCAAGATTGAGGGCAACCGGGTGACGGCAATCTATGTAATCTTGTGGGACTGCGAAGCAGAAGGAACCCGCATGGCAGTTCTTACTCCAGAGAACGCCCCAGAATCTGCGTAGGTGAGCACAGTCAGTCAAAGTTTTGAGGGCTGTGAGCGGGAAACTCGTGTTCCTGGTAGCAGTCCACTGTGCTCTGTGCGCTGTGTGTGGATGGCTGGGGCTTTTTAAACAGTCGACGGAGCAACGCCCTGGATTAGAATGCCACATGCAGAGCAGTGACTGATTGCTGTGAAGTGGAAAAAGCCGCTGTCCCCTGACTAGGGTTGATAGACAAAAGCATTTGCGCGCTTTGCGAGCACACGCAGGACATGGAACATGCGTGCGTTCTTGTGACCCGACCCTTTGCAGGCAGCTGTGCTGGCTTTCCTCATCTTTGTCATCCCACTGTCCACTGTCCTTTGTCCAATGTCCACTGTCCGTTGTTCATACCCACTGGCCTGCGCTGGCGTGCAATTATGTGTTCGGACGCCCTGGCCTTCTACTGTGGATTCAAATTTGCATTGCCCAGTGGCGTGGGCACTTACAGGTATGCGGCGCGGCTATCGCTTTAAAACTTTGAGTTTTGCTTCCGCCTTTTTTTTTGCCAGGGCTGCTGAGCGCTAACTATTGCTGCCCTCTCGAACTCAATTATACGCCTTGCAATACATACATATATCAAGGCGTGAGGTGTGTAGGTTATGCGTTTACACAGAACTATACGCCTGACAAGATACTTTTGCCTGCGCGTTTGCTTCGCCGAGTTCTTCTGTCAAAAGCATGCAGCTAGCCACCAAAAATGAAAATGTCAGAAGGTTAGTTACCAACGAACGGAAGGTTAGTTGCAATGAACAGAGGTTCCTCCCCCCCCTCCCCCCCCCCTCCCGCCCCCCCAACAACAAAACAAGAAGAACAAATCACACTAAACAACAGCAGCACCAGGGAATGCCTCTCCTTCCAAGGAGCCGGCATGAAGCCGTGCCTGGCAGAGGTCTGCAGCCGGGGTCCAATTGAACATTTTTGTTGATGCGATCGGGCGATGTTGGGATTTGTTGAGGCTACCCGTTTCAGGGTTGAACCACCAATCGACAAGCCACCTACCTTAAGGGCTTCCAGATTTTGACACGTTTCAGCCAGAGAGGCTCAGCTCTCCTGTATTTTTATACCTTTTCGGTTGGCAACCCAGATCCATTTCGCTCGCCAAGTCACAAGGGAACGTCAGAAAGCTCTGATCTGACTGATTGAGTAGGCAACGTTTGAATTTTTGTTGTTGGCAGGTTTAGTTAAGGTCCGAAAGGTGCTTTACTCGTACCTTTTTCTGGCCCCGATTGAACACCCATCCAGCAAACACACGCTGAGCTATCCAAGGTTTCCCCGTTGCCTATTGGAGCTGAAGGCTTGGTTGCACATCTCGGGAAAAGGTCTAACGCATTGCGAAGGGTTCTTCCAGTAAAATCGCAGTAGCGACATACAGACGGAAATTGCACAGGGAAAGTGCACAGAGAAATGCACAGCAAACGCACAGGCAAAAAGGGAAACTGCACAGGGAAAGTGCACAGAGAGATGCATAGCGACATGCATAGGGAAATTGCACAGAGAAATGCATGGCGAAATACGAAGGGAAATTGCACAGAGAAATGCGTAGCGAAATGCATAGGGAGATTGCACAGGAAAAAGTGCACATAGAAATGCATAGCGAAATAAAATGCACAGCTTCGAGCACGCATCGCGCGAAGAAACTAACTTACATGCGAGAGGAAAATCAGTCTTTTAGGGCGCGGTGGGACCGAACCCACTCTGCGAAAATGACGCCCTTTGCGGAGATCGGCATAATCGATAAACAAAAGAAAGAAGAAAAAACAACAAAACTGAGGACTTTTTGCGATTTCTGCGGTTCGCGCGCGACCCTCTGCGGAGTTCGGCGTGGTCGATGTTAAAAGACGGGACTTTTTGCGATTCTTGACATGCGGGCGCGAGATTGGCGTGGTCGAGGTTAAAAAACAGGACTTTTGCGATTTTTGACATGCCCGCGCGACCCGCTGTGGGGATCGGCGCGGTCAAGGTTAAAACAGGACTTTGTGCGATTTTTGACATGCCCTCGCGACCCTCTGCCGGGATCGGCGTGGTCGATGTCCAACAACTGAGACTTTTTGCAATTTCTGCGGTGCCCGAGCGACCCTCTGCGGGGATTGGCATGGTCGAAGCGCTCTCGCTGTGGCGTCATGCGAATTTGCAATGTACCCGACGAACCCTTTGCAGGGATCTTGCGTGTCGAAGCGCTCTCGCTGTGGCGCCGTGCGAATTTGTCGCAGCTTTTCAAGCACGAAAGTAGCACGCGAAGTGCGCTCCGCAGCTCCGGTTCAAAAGTCGCAGCTTGTAAGACGAAAGTAGTACGCGGTACAATCCGCAGCTCCGGCTGGAATGTTGCAGAACAACTTGCGCAGGGCACTTGCGCAGAGCAACTTGCACCTGGCACAGGACGCTTGCACGGAGCAACTTGCACAGAGCAACTTGCACGGAGCAGTTTGCGCAGAGTGGCAGAGCAACTGGCGCACAGCAACTTGCGCTGAGCACTTAAACAGAGGAGCTTGCACAAAGGGACTTGCGCAGAGCAACTTGCACTAAGCAACTTGCGCAGAGCAGCTTCGGGCCAACACCCCCTGCGTGCCAGTTTCATTTGCTTGCGTTTCTTGCTTGAAGAGTTTGACAGATGCGGCGGCCAAGTGCTGCGTGCGAACAGCACGCAGGCAACGCCTCCCTCTGGGCAATCACTCCGGTCCACTAGCACCCCTGTGTGTCAGTTTCATTCCCTTGCGTGTGATGCTTGAAGAGTTTGACACACGCGGCAGCCAAGTGCTGCGTGCAAACAGCGCGCAAGCAACACCTCCTCCTCGGCAACCACTCCACTAGCATCCCTCCACGTCGTCTTGATTTGCTTTTCTTGGACGCTTGAAGAGCTTGAAGAGGTTGCTTATCTTTGATGGAGAGAGAGATTCCGAGAAGTTCCTTGACCGCAGCATTTCCATGTCTCAAAGCAAGGAGATGCAAGGACAATTAAGCAAGGGATCTTGGGTCTGGTGGAGAATGGCAAGGCCTTCACAGCGGGAACGCGCTCAGCAGTCAGCCCCTTGTGCAGAGCAACTTGCACAAAGCAACTGGCGCGGAGCAGCTTGCGTAGAGCACTTGTACAGGTTTTCTGCGGAGCGACCTGCGCAGAGCAACTTGCAAGGAGCACTTGCAGGGAGCACTTGCCCAGAGCATCTTGCGCCGAGCACTTTCGCAAAGCAACTTGGAGCGCTTGCGCCGAGCAACTTGCTCAGAGCAATTTGCGCAAAGCAACTTGCGCAGCGCACTTCCGCAGGGCAAGTTGCATCGCGCGCTTCCACCGAGCAGCATTCGCTGAGCAACTTGCGCAGCACACCTCCGTAGAGTACTTGCGAAGGGCAAGTTGCTCAAAGCAGCGCGCACTGAGCAACTTACGCAGCACAGTTGCGCGGAGCACGTTCGCAGGTTAGCTTGCACAGAGCGCTGGCGCGCAGCAACTTTCCGAGAGCAGAGCGCCGCACAAATTCTTTCGGGCCACCAGTCTTCTAGCTTTTGTTTATGCACGGGTTTGTGTTTTTTCCGGAGTAGTTTCTCTTGACAGGTTGTTTCAAAGGGAAACCGAACGACGCATGCCCACATGAGCCCGGGACAAATGACCGCGAGAGAAGGTTTTGCAGGCAAAGTTGGGCGCCCCCCCCCTTCGTCGGATTTTCTGAAGAGTGAGGGGTCCTTTATTGTCCCAAATTGAGGCAATCTGTTCTGATGTGACAAGCCAAACAAGTTGTCCCAAACGTGACACCCACACTAAAATACGTATTTGAGACCAGCAGAGGTTTCCTGTCGATTGATGCCCCTCATGTTTGCTCTCTTGGAGAATTTTGGCTCCACATCCCGACGGCCCAAAACCTCTTCCCGCCATGCAGGCCAGAGACGCAGTGTAGACTCCGACCGCAGATGGGCAACATGTTTCTTTCCATTCTGGAAAAGGGGCAAGCCGGTTTGGTTGGCCGAGTTGTTTTCTGGTTTCAAACATTGTTCAGATATGAAAGGGTGCGGACCAGGCTGTTTAGCATTTCAGGCAGTTAATGTTCTACCATGATTCTTACGCCAATGAGTTTGCTTGCAGGAAGTTCGCTGGCGTGAAAGCTTTGGACTACTGCCAACACGTCATCTTTCTGATTCTAACTTCCAGCTTGGCGTAATTCGTCGCTGTGGTTGACGGAGGAAATCCAGGGATATGGAAACCTTAATTTCTTGGTGCTGTGCGTCCGCCTTCCACATTCCGTGCAAGGCGCAGGCCCATTCCCGACTGGATTTGTCGATTGCCGGACAATTGCCTGTTCACTCATTGCCCTTTGATTTTCCCTGTTCCCTTGTCAGCTACGAAGATGAAGGACGCACAAAATCACAAAAACCGTCTTCAAAATGAACTCTTCTTTTGTCCAGTTGTTTGCTCCAATCCCTCGACTTGTGCAACTTAACCAGATCAGAACGCATGGGCCTCTTGGGCCTCAAAGCTGTTTCCCACAAGGGCCCAACGCCTCAGGGCCAAACTTGAAAGGGGGCAACTGTTGGAGTCGGCCCCGTGTTTCCCGACTTTTATCGCTAGACCTGTAGGAGAGCTGCTTTTGGGATGTGTTTTTGTTTTTTCTTGCGATTTGGGTAAGTTTCTTGATGCGGTTGAGGCTGCATGTGTTGGATTTGTTGCGATTCAGTTTGGCTTTGATCCACTCATTGCACTCATTGCACTCATTCACTCGTTTTAGGTTGGGTCGCAGCCATTTTGAATATCTCGCCTTAGAACCGGACATTCGCAATGGCTGCGAAGAGGCAGCGGACAGCGGACGCCGCTAGTTTATGTTGTGTGTTTCAAAGTTCGAACAAACAAACAGTACTCTGAAATTGTATCTGTGATCTTTCCCTTGATTTCGAGGATGAGCTTTTTGTCTAAGTTTCGGATTAGGGGCTTCCGGAGGGGCTGCTTCCCGGGAGTTTTGCTTGGGCCCCTTCGGGCAGGGTCTTCCGTAGCCGAGGCCCCGTTGAGCATCGGCTTCCTGGGGGGCGGCCAGATGTGCGAAGCGCTCCTCGGAGGGCTCCTGGCCAAGGGCACCACCGAGGCGCGAGCGACGGAGCCGGCCGCCAACCCCATTGGCCCAAGACGTGAGTCGATGTTGAGGAATTCTCGGATTTGATTCTGTTAATGTGCCTGAGGTTCATTTGCTACAGCGGTCATTTTGGGCAGATTGGCACCCGCAGTCCAGTCTACGATGACAGCGCTTGCACAACTGTTCGGGAAGTTGCGAGCCAAGGCAAGATCTTATTTGAACCAGTGTTTGGTTTCGTGTTTGAAAGGATGTGATGCGACAGAGAAGTGGGGTTCAATATTTACAGTGGTACTATGTAGGCTACACTAACTTGAGCAAGACCCATCATTGGTCATCCGGCAACCCCTGCTTGGTGGTGCGTTTCTTTTTGGTTTTGGGGACCTGAAGCGCTTGTTCTTGTTTCCACCCAATCCAAACCGCCCGTGCCAGGGCAGCAAGGTGTTGGTGAGCGAGCCCATTGAGGCCCGTCGACTTGCACGGGAGAGCTGTGTAGAACTTGGGCTTGGGCTTGGGCTTGGCAATCAAAGCCCGGGTAGATGAAGGCCAGTAAGGGATGATCCCAACCACAAATGAGTCCAACTTATTACTAGGTTTTGATTGTGACTCAGGTTGGCATTCAGGAGTGAAACCAGTGAAACTTACAAACCTGCTACTTGGGCAGCGCTTGGGGGATCGTGCACATTCCACACAGTTTCTCATGCCACGTCCTGCCGCAGGCGCGCCGAGGTTACCTGGAGCAGAAGTGCCATGTCTGCAGGTTTAGATGCGCTCCCTTCCGAGTGTGGCCAAACCGCCTTTTCGAGCAGAGGGAAGATAGGGAGCATTCAGAGGGTTCAGTGGCTCGCCTG